CTTTCCAGCTCTTAGGGTCTGAGGAAAAAGTTTTTTAAAAAGAAATATTTTGAAAATATATAAATTATGAGCATTTTAAAATGAATATTTAATTAAACGATAATTTGTTTCAAATTAATTGTGCTTCCTTTTAGTGATGCAGTGTCAATTGCAGCCACAGCTGCTATTGAAAGTAAATGAAATAATGTCACGGCGCGGTGGAATCAGGCGCTCGTCAATTTCTAGGCATGAGGGGTTATTGGTATCATCATAAATCTTTTTCATTCATATTGCTTTTGTTTGGTTTTTTAATACCCATCTGTCTTTAATAGAAGTCAAACTATTTGCTATTGAATAACTGCGATGGGGGTCTTTTAGTGTCAGACGTAAAATAACGAGAAAATGCCTCCCAAAGCTAACTGACTCCCAAAGCTTGTGTGTCCTTACTGAATACATATTTCTAATCTTTCTTTTTGCCTTTGATCAACATTTTTATTAATTAAAGATTCACAAAATAAACGTTTTTTATGGACATAGAACGTGCATAGCTGAAAAGAAACCTGAAATATCAAAAGGAAAAGAAAAAAAAATTGCCCAACGTGCGGGAAAATGCCGTTCTCTTTGGTTTCATTATTTTGTCGAGCATCTGATTTCACTACGATGCAAACACACATACGTCTAAACATTTATGTTATGAGGATGCCGCTGTTAGAGGAACGTTTCCAGGATCTACATAGAGTAGACAGTCCTTGCCTTGAGTTGCCGAAAATCCCTGTCAAGTGGCATATTATTGTGTTCTTCCGGTAACAGAAGAATGGGCAGCGTCATTATGCTGTTAGATACAACTTATTTATATGCACGTGCTTTAAATAAGATAAAATACATCTTTGTTGTCCAGATTCTGGCACATTGGTTTAGTGTTTCACCACGTACACATGACACACACACACACACACACACACACACACACACACACACACACAAACATGCACACACACGCATACACACATGCATGTGCACACCCATACACACACACACACACACACACACACACACGCACACACTCATCCCTCACGCATCCTCTCATCCACACACATCTGTGCATATATCTATTGTAATATATTGTATGCTTGCACTCACAAACAGGTTCACAGTCACATGCAATATATAAATAAAAAGTAATTATAAACATTAGAAATGTTAAACTAGATATGTACTCAGTATTCTGATTGTTACTCAATGGTATTCTGATATTGCATGCTTTAAAAGTTATAAGAATACATTGTCCTTATATCAAGATAATTAAGATGGTAGAAGTTTAATGGATAATGGTAAGAATGACCTTCTGTATCTTTCTTTGTTGCAGATCAGAAGCCTAGGTCTTTTACTTCTGACTGATATTTTTATTTGAGTGAACAAGGGGTGTTCGTTGTCCAAAATGATGGAATTCATTTTTCTAGAGCAAGCGATAATGTATAATTCATCGAAGTAGGGGAATGCAGATGTTGACATTTTGCATGCTTTACGTATTAATCGATTCAATTTTTCTATATTTTGTTGTCTTGTGTTCCCGGCTTATGCTTTCACACAGAAACTAATCATACTTTCTATGGTTGAGTGGAAAAATATGGACATCAATGATTTATCAACTTTAGAATACATGAGCTTGCTCAGAAAAAAATAGTCTTTTGCTTACTTTTTATGCAGGAGAGAAGTGTGGGTATGCCAGTGGATTTGTTGTCTTTGTAACACTCAAATACTTTATAATCTGACACATGCTCGACGTTTTCATTTTTAATTTCGAGTGGTTGCAGGGGCAATTTCTTCTTTTTTCTTCTAAAATCAAGTAGAATTGTGTGGCTGTTTGCCGCTCTCCTTTCCCCAACAAAAAAAAATCGCTCTGGGAACATGTGGCTTTGCAAATTGAGCTTTTACACCTCCGAATATTGACACACAGCGAACAATTCAGGATTGTTTTTTTGTGTGTGTGGGGGGGGGGGAGGAGGGGGTATTTTATAGTTACCCTCCCTGCCGTCAAACAACATGCAATTGGTTTAAATAATGGCTTCGGGGACAGAGAGAATGATGCACCGACCTGTTACTATGATCCTCTTGACAGAACGGGTGGTGGTGTCGTTGACCCACACTGTCGCAGATTGGTACGACGTACAGGTCATATGATGGCTGCGACAGGCTGGCCCGGTAGGGCTTAATTTCACCCTGTAATATCCTCCTGACACGTCTTCAAACTTGACACTGTGCTGCCCTTTGTGTACCTGGAATGGAAATACAAATTCGAGTTTAAAGTGAAAAAAATCCCATAACTACTAACAAAAACAAACAAACAAACAAACAAACAAACAAACAAACAAACAAACATACGTGAAGTGTGCTTATTCAGGCGAAATGAACGCTACGAAAACAGAACAATAGTTCGATTGAAACAAATTCGCTTTGAGGATTATAGTTTTATCTGTTTTGCACACACACACACACACACACACACACACACACACACACACACACACACACATT